ATTTATTTTTTTTTAAAAAAAAGCAGTGCCTAAAAATAAAATCAGAAAAATAAGGCAAATGATTTTGTGTATTCAGTTAGTGGCATAACCATTCAAAAGTACTATTCTGAATGATTTCAAAATACTAAAAAAAATCTTTAAAAAATTAGTCATTCTTTTATCTGTTGGAATGTGAAAATTTTCTAGGATGGTTTATATGGGATAGAATTGCATTTTATTCTGGACATTATACTCATTCCTTGGTGAGAGTATGTCCTCACACCATTAGGTTTGGCTAGATAGCTCCTCTTGCCTGTCACTGACTCCAAAATGATTTAGATTTTTCTAATCAACTCTGGCATTTTTCATATAGAATTTCCAGTAGGCTCAAGGACTAAAGAATTACAGTTCACATGGATGATGATTTCACTAAGGGAAATCTTGGGTACAATCAGGCAAATTTTTGATATTCAGAGAAGACAGACATATACGGTACTACCTCACATGCCACAGAAAGCTAGCATGGCCATGTCAGTGGGTATTTTCTTTTTCAACTTAGTAACAGGTAAAAGTTTGTGGTAGGCAACCTCTAAAATAGACCCCCTAATGATTCCTATACTTTCCAATAATTCACAACCTCATATAATTCCCTCCTCTTGAATTTGGGTTGAAAATAATGACTTGCTTCAAATGAATAGAATATGACAGAAGTGATGGGATGTCACTTCTAAGATTAGGTTACAGAATTACTGTGTCTCCCATCCTAAATGCCATGTTGTGAGACAGCAATATGGAGAGGTCAACATGGTAGGGGACTGAGGCCTGCCAACAATCACACATTTAAATTTGGGTCCAGAATCCATTTGCACATCAAGTCTTCAGATAAGACTACAGTTCCAGCCTATAAAGACAACTTCATTGTAACCAAATGAAAAACCTTGGCCAAAGGAACCCAGTTAAGCTATGTCTAGATGCCTGAGCCACACAAACTATGAGCTAATATATGTATTATTTACAGTCACTAAATTTTGAGATAATTGGTTATGCAGCAAACATAGTACAATATATAATATTCAACTCTGTAATAACAAGTCATGATCATTTATGCATCTGTTTATCTATTCAACAAATGTTCCCACTGTATTAATGCTGCATCAGACCTCAAATGCAGTTGGAGAGTGTCTCATAGAACATAATAGAAGGGTACATAAATAAGACTATAGGAAAAGGGTAGGCAGGAAAAGCTCCCTAGGGAAAATGGCATCCTAGGCGAAGGCTCTGGAGGTATAAAAGTAATATCAAATTTACGAAATTGAAAGAAGTGGAGCTGGCCTGAAGAGTAAACAATGTGGAATGTGCAGGGTTATCTGGTGTGGGTACCAATTAAGAGGGCAGATTTTGATATCACAGGAATGCAAGTGCATCTCCATGTTCCTGTTCTGCCACTTCATAGGGACAGTTTAGACATCCTCCCTGTGCCTCAGTTCTCTCACTTGGGAAATAATGATGCTAGTAATTATTTCAGAAGATTTAGAGCATATGGTATGATACCTAGCACAAAATAGGTGCGGAAAATTGGTGGCTGTCATTATTGCTGTTTTTGCTATTTTTATTAGCAGTATTAGTAATGTGAGAGATCTTATAAGACATGGCAAGGAATGTTTGTATTAATTCGGGAGCAATGGAAAGCCAAGAAACAGATATATGTGGAGAATGACGTGCTAAAATATACAATTTATAACCATCATTCTAACAGCCATGTGAAAAGTGAATGTGAGACGGGCAAGACTGGAGGCTAGAGGCCAATTATCAGATTGTTGTGATAATCCAGACAAGAGCTAGGACAGTGGCAGTAGTGATGAGGACGAGAAAGGGACACGTCTGAGGGATATTGAGGGGGAGAACTCAATTGTTTTGGAATTTGATTTACTTTGGGAATGAGACACAGAATGAGTCAAAGATTATACCAGGTTGAGGGAACTAGGCAAATGACACACATTTTCAGATACTGAAACCTTTGCTGATAGAGGAGGATAGGATTGGCTGGAATGAGAATTTGTGAGTGTGAAATATTGCTGACATTTAAGTTTGGTAGTCTAAGGAATTTTTTATTGAATTTATAGAATTAAACAAAGAGCTAGAGAATAATTTTGTCTATAGCAAACAGGATATATACAGCCATCAGCATGGTTTCCTAGAAAATTCCACTCAACTAATGTACAGAAACTTAAAAATTATAAACAGAATCCTTCAAAAGAAACTAAGAAGCCAAGAATGCAAAGAAGGATCAGAAAAATAAGATGTCACAAAATCCGCGGGATGACATTTCCTCTAGAAGAAAGTATTAGATAAGAGAGTCAAGTCCTACAATAAATCAAGGTAAAGACCAATAAATGCCTTGTGGATTGTGTGCAGGGAGGCCACTGAAAACTCTCTGAGAGCAGTTCCTATAGAAGCTTACGGTAGAAGTCAGATGGCGATGGGCTGAGGAATGAGAAGGTAAATTATTCTAAAGAAATTTGGCTTCAGGGTAACCTTGGTTAAGAGAGAAATGTTTGTTTGTTTCATTTTAATTAATGGAAGGAACTGGAATATGTTGTAAAGTTTATGGGAGTGGGGGAGAGAAGCGGCGGGGGGAGGGGGGACCGAGCCTTAATGAGAGGATGGCTACAGACCCAAGATTCTTTAGAGGTTTAGTGCCAGGAAGATAAGGATGTCCCCATATGCAAGTGTATAATTCCACTCTGAAGGTGAAGACAAGATTATACCTAAAAGTGGAGGAAAAGATGGTAGAGTGAGACCAGTGGTTCTCTACTGAAGGGTTATTTTGCCCCTCTCCAGGTACATTTAGCAATGTCTGGAAAATTTGGGGTTGGTACAGCTAGGGGCTGAGGGTAATACTGGCATCTAGTCGGTAGAGGCCAGGGATATTGCTAAACACTGTAAATGCACAGGGAAGGCCCTCACAACAAAATATCATCTAAACCAAATGCCAGTAGTGCAGAGGTTAACAAAATCCAGGTCAGACATTTGAGGAGGTTTAAAATATTCACTGCAGAGAATGAAGAGCTGACTATAGAACCATGGCATGGTTGCTTTAAAACATTCAGTACCCACTGGAAAATAGAGACCAATGTTTTTTAACATCAACAATCTGCACGGCTATATAATTTTCCTCAGAAGTATTAAGATTGAGTAAAGGCTTAGAGAAGTGAAAAGTTAAAATTAATACATGGACAGAGTTTTACCAAGTGGGTGCATTCAAAGGACAAGAGAATTGAGATATTGATAGAAGACCCATGATCCACTGAAGTGACAGATTATGGATTCTAAACTAGGTAAGGAATGGTATAAAACAAAACGTAGCTGAAAGAACAGAAAAAATAGGAGGCCCGGAGTTTCCTGTAAATTTGAAATATGTGCAGTAGGAGTAATTTAGTAAAAGATATGGAATGACAAAATATGGTAGTCAGAAGTTGAGAAATAGCCTTAGTATTTATTTTTCAATACAGTTAATATGATGGCAATATCCAGACTGGACCCAATGCGTAAGTAGATGAAGTACACTAAAAATGAAGTTCACTGGCAGTGAGAAGAATATGAACCTGAGAGGCCAGGATGATAAATCACACAAGGCCAGAAATTTACCCATGTATATTCCTAAATCCCATGTCATTTCATCACTAAACAATATACAGGAAAAGCAGCTACAAAAAGTGAGTATTATAATAATTATAACCAAAAGACTCCTTGCAGGGTCTAATACTAGAAAGACCAATCAAGGAATTAGTCACACAGATTCCAACAGCTAGGAACTCAACAGTTATAGAAAAACCCAACTCTCTAAACTCAGGGTTGGTTGATAGCCAGAATCCCAATACTATTCTTTCAGGCCCCATCTTACTGGCTTTTACATTAATTGGCTAAAGAATGAATGAGATTATCCAAGAGTAAATTGGCTATTTCTGAGGCAAAAGGGTGCTTCAATGGGTCAGGCAATGGGAAGTTACCTACCTTTAAATATTCTGCAAGATGCAGCAGTGAAATTGGGGCACAGAACTTAAGAAGAGATTCTGAACAAGTGGACTGAAAATAGAAAGTATAGAACACATGCTAAAATTTCCAAGGATGGAGGAGGAATGCCCACGAAGTCAATGGATAAAAGCAACACAGAGAAGGAAATTGTAGTTGAACCTTTATGCCTAAAAGACAGCTGAGATAGCTCTTATATTCTTCTCAGCTTTGAGCTGTTGCTCTAAAGGCTACTGGTAGAATTTAGCACTGACTGCCATCAAAACCCCCGGGGGTGGCTTGTTAAAAACTAAGATTCCAGGACTGAAGTTTGGGAACTAGTAGTATCTGCTAGTTAATACTGTCATGCCTCTGTCTCAACTCATCTTCGAAACTTTGATTATTATAGTCCCTGTTCATTGGAAACTTACTACAAGGCAGATGCACTTCTAAGCATTTTGAATATATTTATCTTATTCAACCTTCCCCCAAAATTTACAATGTAGATGTTATTAACATTTTCAATTTAAGATAAGGAAATTAGGCAATAAAGCTGACTTTTGAGCAAAAGCAGTCTGATAACAGAGCCTGTTCTCTTTCCAACATTGCTAGCATGATAAATTAGCTAACTAAAATGAACCTTTTCCTTTGGCTTTTAACTATCATTTTATTTTGTATATTGTTAAAAAGTCATTGCATGTTCATCATAAGCTCTGATTAGTGGTTATACATATTAATGAAAACAAAGAAACTAAATTTAATAAAATCAGCTTGGCAAACTAAACATTTCAAAACACAAAGTTGTCATAAAAATCCATAATAGAAGTACTTGCTGGTAAAAGTTGTAAATATGGACCTCCTCACACTTATTACTACTTTTTCCATTTCCTTAGTCCTAATATTAGATAAGTTTACCCAGAAAGTTGATCAGTTCAGAGAATAAGGGGGAAATAAAATAAAATGAACATTCACCTCTTCAACATCATGAAACTCAATATCTGAATACTTACATTTAATTCATTTTTTAGCATCTCTTCAAAATGATGACCTACATGTGCTTCATCTTCTTCTGTGTCCATAACTATGCAAATCTGTTCTGAAATTCTTTCTGAGATAAAAAATTTAAAAACAATTTAAGTTTCAAACAGAAAATGGAACAAAGCCCTAGTCTAGTATGCCAAAACCTATGCTTACTTGCAGTTCATAACTATTGAAAAATAGGGAGGTTTTAGCTTTAGACCAAGTAGAGTGACTTGGACTACACACTGAGATGTCTTTGACTCTTTTAATCCCAAATTCATAAATCTATGCATTTTACACTTTGTAGGTAGCTAACTAGGACATGTGTAAAGCGACAGAAAGAAGAGATCCTAGGATACATTTGAAAGCGTATAAATGGAGGTGATAGCTATTTAGTTTGCCCATTCGATCCTTCCATGTTTATAAGGAGCGTCCCAGAATCTGATAAAATCCCATCTCCCAGGAAGATCTCCTTTTAAGACAGTCTTCTGTGTGCAGCTCATTGTGCCACCTGGTGTCCTGGTTAAGTACAGCGTTTTCCTTGGCATCTCTCTATATTCAGTCAATTCAATACAATTAAGTTCCTGCCTGTTTAACTATTACAAGTAAAAATAGCCAAATGGATTGTCTTCAGATTTGGAAGGCTTATTTGACATGATTTGATTTAAAAACATAAGTGATATGACATAGTAATATTCACCTTTGTGTCCTTTCCCAAAAGATGTGCAGTCCTTCTCTACAGTAGACAGATCTGAAGTACTAAGAAATGGCTAATTGCTCCCAGCTAAGAAGACGGTGTATGGTATTATGTCATAGATAAGGGGAAAAAATGTAATTTTAAATAGGAATCTCAAATGAAAAGTTAGTTTGATTAACATTTGACTTAGCTGCTTCTTTTATGGGTGACTCTTTATAAAATGCTTTAAAAAAAAAAATTGATCTAACAATTGTTAATGATTCTTCCAAGCAAAGCTGAGGAGGACAGACCATTTAAAATAACAACACCAGTTAATAGTACTATTACTAACTACCTCCCACTTACCAAGAGCTACGTGCTATATTAGTGTCATCCTCATGATGACCATGCAAAACAATCTATATAACAGATTCAAAAACTTGACCAGAGAAATGAAGAAACTTGCCCAATATTATAACGTTATGAGTAGTAGAAAAAGGATTCAAATCCAAAGAAATTAGGCTTACAAATACAGTTATCCTACAGCACTAAAATGAGGAGAGGAAAAAGACATTTATTGAATATCAAGCATTTGCATATAAAAGGCCCTAAAGCCTTCATAGTCATTATTCCATTTAATGCCTCAAAATAAATGTCTTATTAGCTAAACATTATAATTCCTGTTTTTATTCACAAGGATGTTAAAATACAGATCTTTCCAAAGCTTGTATCTTTTCTATCATGCTGCCTACCTCGTAATCATTTCTGTAAAGAAATATAATGTATTCTTACTTTCTTGTACCCCACAATTCAAGAAAATTAAATATATATAGATGTGACATGTAATACTTCTGTTACTGAAAATTTTAGTCAGTGTGCTCTGTACTCATGCAATGTTCTCATAGGTTATTCTGACATATGTTTCTACTCCTAAGGGCAAGATTATCCAACAAGAATGATAAAGGAAAATAAGAAATTTTGACCCTTACTGTCGTTAGTTTTCTGAATCTCCATATAGGTAATCAACTATAACAAAAATTCTTTAATTTTTATTTGAAAACATTGATTTTATTGAAATAATGTTGTATGAAGAGGATTGGTAAAAAATAACTAGAAAATGCTTGATTAATAAATTATAATACATTATTCTCTGTAAAAATAAGACATGAAAAAAGAAAACTATACATAAATACAGTAATTCAAATGAATTACTTCTATTCTGGACACAGATCTGCTACACTTAGCTACATCAAAATTATTTCATTTCCTTAGGACTCGGTTTACTCGTCTGTAAAGTTCCTACCAATTTTAAAATGTTTTTAATTCTAAGTAACATGATCCTAATAAAATTAAAACATAATTTAGAAGAGAAATGGATGATCCGGATAGTATGTCAATCAGTTTGTATCTCTCAGAACAATGATGTTCCACATTGACGTTCCACATCGTTGTTCTGAGAGATACAAACTGATTGACATATCAGATAAATCTTTATAATAAAAATGAGGTCGGGTCTCACTCTTGAAAGATTAATAGATTTTGCTGAGGAACTGAAGTGGGGCTTTGAAAGTAATTAAGGGGGATAAGATGAAAAATATTTTTAATGTATTGAGGTAGGGAGACTATGGGCATAAACTTAGTGAGGCAGAAGACAAGATAAGTACTCGAAAGCCATGGAATAATTCAGTGGTGAACTATAAAGTAGGACACTTGGTGAAACCAGATCATGTAGGTTCTATGCTGTCTTGAATATTGTATTGTCACAAAAGTTTTAGATCCCAAGATAACTAGCACACAAGCAGTGGTCTGAAAATGAAGTTAATACAAACACATGCATTGTAAAATTAAATGTGTAGAGAAATTTGAACTTTGCAATGTCCTAGCAAAAACTGAGACAGTTATATTTTCAAATACACACACAAAATTATAAAATTAAATAGAAAAAGCATAAAAAAGTATATGAGAATAATAAAAGATCTTACATTATGGGATTTTTAAAATGTTTCCTGTTACATGGGAACTGTGAAGATGCTTAACTGTGAGATTTTAATGAGGATTAAATGAGTTAGTATGTATGTGTAAAGTTATGTAGAGTACCTGATACAAGTAAATCCCCAATAAATGTTTAAAAAATAACTGTTTTTGTTGCTTTGGTCCTATATATTCAATAAGAATATAAATTAAGATTCCTTTTGTCTACTCAAAATAGAATACATTTCTAACTTCAAACTATCCCTGTGGTCTTAATATTTCAGAGTTTGGTAAATAATACATATCACCTTTGTCCTACTAAACAAACTTTCTTTCCAAATTTCGGTTTTACCAAATATACATAGTTATGTGTAATAATGGAATATACATCTTGAGTAATAAACAATCCTATGTTTTCATCCATGAATTCCTTTAAATGAATTCCTGAGAAATGTATTGTTCATTTCTCAGTTTGCACATTAAATCTAAGTTAAAGAATTTTACGTGATTTCTATTAATAATTACATGAACATGCACTGACAATCTTAACTGGGAATGTTAATGCACTTAAGATCTTCATCAAAAAAAGACAATAGCAATGATTGTACTTGTTCCATCCGATGGAAGACCAAAATAAAAAAGCATGTAGCTATAGGAACAGGGCTCAAATAAACTGAACCTCAATTCACCAGTTATTCTATTATCCCCCAATTCACAAAGAAAAGAAAAATATATATAGCATTTAAAAGTCTTTTTTTTTTCATGAAGTACAAAACTCCTTCCAAGCATAATATGATTAATCTTTATTATTTCTCAAAGCAAAGTGTTTAACAACTTCCTTGAGGTTAATGATGAAATCAAAACAAAAATAGGAGCCTTTAGAATTCTTAATCTGCTGTTCTAACTATTAATAAAGCATGTCTTAGAAACTTTTAGAGGTTAAAATAAACAAAACAAAAGCACTGAGGAGAACCACAAAACCATGTTACTTCCCAGAATCAAAAAAAATTCTAACACAAGAATCTAGTCTTTGTTCTCTCCCCAGAAAAGACTTAAGGATAAATTAGAAAAATACTAAAATTAACATTAAATCATACCTGACTCTGAGTTTTAGTTTTCACACTACCTTCTCTTTTTAAAATAGGTTTTTAAAATTTTCCTAAAAGGACATTTGTGGCACATTATGAAATATTTTGATAACTAAACCATTAGGGTATATCTCCCCAAAATTATTTTTAACATGTACTAATTTAAACTGAATAACTCTTCAGTTATATTCAGCATCTGAGTGTCACATATCTCAGTGTGACTTAACAGAGAGAAAATTCAAAATGGAATAAGTCTACAAGTTAGTATTAAAAGCTGTAAGTATTAATAAGTACACATTTTTCAGTTAATACCTCATCCCTATGCATGATCCTTTTATACACTACCTTAACCACCTTTTAAATGGTCAAGGTATTGTGTACAATTGCCAATACAAGAGTTCCCCCTTATCTGCTGGGGATACATTCTAAGACCCCAGTGGATGCCTTAACCACACATAGAACTGCAACCTATATGTACTGTTTTTATCCTATACATACATACCCATAAAATTTCATTTATAAATTAGGCACTGTAAGAGATTTACAACAATAACTAATAATAATAATAATAATAATAATAATAATAATAATAAAATAATAAATAGAACAACTATAACAATATATTGTAATAAAAGTTATGTGAATACGGTCTCTCTGAAAACTGGTCTGATAACTGAGATGGCTACTAAGTGACTAACAGGAAGATAGTAGCATACACAGCATGAATACCCTGGACAAAGAGATAATTCATGTCCCTGGCGAGACAAAATGAGACAGCAAGAGATTTCATCACATTAATCAGAATGGAATACAACATAAAACTTAAGAATTGTTTATTTCTGCAATTTTCCACTTAATAATTTCAGACCACAGTTAACTGTGGGTAACTGAAACTGCTGATGAAGGAGAACTATTGTCATTAATAATTATACCAAAAATAAATAATACAAAACTTGATTTTACTTTGTTGGTTGTGATTAATTTTATATGTCCACTTGATAGAGCCATAGGGTGCCCTGATACCTGACCAAACATAAAATTTGAGTGTGTCTAAGAAGGTATTTTTAGATGAGATTAAATGGACATTTAATTTTAGAGACACTTAAATGGACAGACTAATAAAGTAGATTGCCCTCCCTAAAGTGGTGGGCCTTATCCAATCAGTTAAAGACTTGAAGTAAACAAAAGGTTGACCTTCTCCCAAGTCAAAGAGAATTCTTCTTAACTAAAACATTGATTCTTCCTGGTTCTACAACAGCCTGCGGGCCTTTATACTTGAACTGGACATTGGTTTTGCAGATTTTGGACTTGCCTGCCTCCATAATCCATAATCACCTAAGGCAATTCCTGTGT